TTTAAAATGCAAAAAGTGTAAAACTGTCTGATAAAACCTGGAAAAATTCAAACTTTTAATGAAAAATAAATTGAATTACTTATCAAAAGGGTCAAATATAACAAATATTTAGTAAGATACAGTCTTTTATTATAATTTTTTGTAATTATAGTATTTGCTTACTATTTATGGAAAGAATAATATCAAAATTAACACCAGCTAATGCAAATTTTACAATACACAAACAGTATTGTATCTGTAAATTGTTGAGGATAGTATTGTTTGCTCTATTTGTTTTTTCATTGAAAGCTTATAACTAAACATAGATATACAAAGGTTAGTAATTCAATATTGAGTATAATGTAACCATGGACCTTCAATAATCTTAAGCTCCGTAGCAAACACAGACCATATATCTTAAAAAACAGAAATCCCTATTTAACAGTTTGCTCTACCTTAGGGATACATCCAGACAAATACAATAATCTCGGGGAACTGCTGTCTTTATACTTGTAGTTTAATGTGGGTGTTTTAAACAAAAACAGGCAAAGTTCCGGATGCAATGTCTGCCTTCATTTCTTTCTGGCTTCTGATTCAATGAATCAGAAAAACGTTTTTCTAAACTACAGTTGTAACTATACAACAATTGGTAACTTAGGCGATCTTTTACTTATATAATACATACTGAATTCAGTATATATTAATATTATGCATTTATAGTCAAATCATATATTTTATGCTTTAGATGGAATTGAACAATATATGCTAGCAAGCTAGTTCTCCATATCAGTATTATAGTAAATTTATAAACCTAACATATTGTTAATGAAATAGAGATCTTTTACATTAAAATACATACTGAATTCAGTACATATTAATATAGTCAAATCATAGATTTTTTTGCTTTAGATGGAAATGAACACTATTCTAGAAAGCTGGTTCTCAATATCAGCATTTGTCATCATTTCAAATAATGATTTTAATAATTTATTATCAGTAAATTTTAAATACCTAACATTGTTAATGAAATAGTACAGTAACTGGTAAAATAAACATTGCTGAGATTTATTTATAATCTTGGCAGTTCAATGCAAAACAAACTTAATATTTTCACAAAATTATTTTTGAAAACATAATTTTCAATGCTGGTTGTAATAAATTTGTTTGTATTTACAAATAGTAATTATGTTAATCAGGTACCTCCTGACTTTACATACATTGTCAACCATAGATTAGTTAATCCTCCATCTAAGTCCTTTATATTACCGGTTAAAGACCCCCTCCCCCACATTACTGGCAATCGAAAGTTCCCTATCATGTGGTCCGTCCTCCCCCGTCACATGGGCCATACCCATCTCAGCCTCACTGTGGTTATGTCTTACCTCTCGAAGCCCGAAAATACCACTCTCAGGCCTGCGGTCACTGATTTATAAAATGATTCTAATAATTTTTACTGCAACTCAGCAACGGTTGGGCTCAGCCAGCCCAACAGCTGGCACTGCCCCCCCCCCCCTTTTCACCAATGTCCTTCATTACCTCATTGTTGAATTTTTAATCTAATTCCTCTCCCTCAGATTTGGCAGCTGGCTGGCAACAAAATTAGCTGGTTGAACTCTTACAAGATGAAAATGTCTATCATAATTGGAATATCTCAGATGGTGTTTGGAGTCATTTTAAGTGTTTTCAACTATGTGTTAGTATATGAATATCATACTCTAAATTCTTGTTAGCCCAAAACTGAGTTTGTTACACTGGCAGGTTTTTTATGTTACATTTTGACATTGGTCTGACCCAAGTTGGTAAGTTCCAAAGTGCAATACAGGGAAAAATCTGACTCCCAGAGGTACAACAAAGAGGAAATGTTTCTGAAACACCAGGTTCTTGCCAACAAAATGTTCAACCTTCGGGCACATTAATTATAAATAATAGTCAAAGTTCCAGGAAAACAACACAATAAAAAGTCATATCCCTTGGTCCAACCCTGGGGGAAAAAAAATCTGTCAAAAATATTTCTAATTCAGGATAAAATCTAACACTAAAAGGTCTGTTTTTGGTGGAAAATCAGCCTGCTTTCAACAATATCACACTACAGGTATTTGCAAGTATAAGTCTCCCTTCAATTAAAGATCACTTTCAAGACTAGTGTTTCCATGGTCTCTAGTAGCTTTGTTCTCTAATATAGAGTAATAAATATAATATAAATCATCAAAGGTACATATTACAGTGTTTAATAAGGACATGATAGAACATCGTAGGCTACCCTGTAGCTTTTCAACGAATAAAGTTTTATGAAAAAGTAATAATAATAGAGTAATAAAGACATAGTTTTATTTTGTGACCACAGAAAAGTGGTCTTTATTCGGAAGAGTCTTTTAATTGGAGTAGTCCTTAATTACCTAAACTGTGTACCCATAATGCAACTTTAGTAATTAATAGAATGATAAAATATTAAAAAATTGATTTGCAATAGACAACAATAACACTTACTGTGCATAATAATATAAATTTTTATTTTCAGTCACTTTAAAAAGTATTCCAGCCTTCTGTTTGATTTCATTCCGCAAATCATTTTCCTGTTGTTCATTTTTGCGTACATGGTTGTTTTGATTGTTGTGAAATGGTTCTTGTACGACGCTGAAAGATCTCAGACTGCCCCCAGCCTTATCATAACCATCATCAATATGTTTCTATTAACAAACGACGAATCACTCATGATGTATCAACACCAGGTGAGACATTGGTTCTTTTTTTTTGTGATGATGGTGATGACGACAAAGATTGTGATGAGGATGGTAATGGGCGGCAATGACTTTGCTGATGTAAAGATGGATGTGGTGTAGTGGTTGTGTCGGTGCCTTAATTGCAGTGGTGGTTATTGCAATGTGGTGTAGTGATGATGATGATGGCGATGATGATGATTATGACGATTATGATGATTATGATGTGATGAAGATGATATATGATGTTCGGCTGGTAGTGGTGATGGTCATATTTGTGGTGGTTGTGGTCGTTGTTGAGGTGTTGATTCACTTAATTTCTATTGGCTCAGCATAGCATTCTACCATGATTGCTTAATTGTTAAACCTGAATTTCCTTCTCGCAGTACTCTTTATGCTGCAAGAAAAATGATGCATTTGGATAATACTGAGTTCCTTGCATCTCTGTTTTTATTCTATCAAGCTGTGCTTCTTTTGAAATACAGATTGTATAGTTTTTTGGGGTTTTTTTTCAAAGAGGGTTAAACTGTTGACCATGTATCCATCATATCCTGTCTGTAATAAAGAAAGCTTGAAGAGCAGGGGGTTTGTTTCCTCGTGCACTGTCAAATCTACTGCCACAGGTGACACTGCGTTGCTGCTGTCACTGGCTACCCAGGGGCCTAGTACAATTTTTCTAGTCGACCAGCTAGGACCAATTATTTACTGTACTTTAATACTTAATTTTTTTTATTTCAGAACTCTCTTGAATGGCATTTTGATCTTGGATCAATTACACACACACACACACACACACACACATATATATATATATATGGTTTTTTTTAACATATCTATATGTTTTTATAGTATAAAGTACAGATAGTGCTGGTGGTATTAGCTGTTTTGTGTATTCCGTGGATGTTGTTTGCGAGACCTGTATACCAGTTGCTTTTGCACCGTGCTCGATTGAATAAGCGCTTATCTACTGTGAGTATCAGCGTAAGTTTTACCATTGCGGTAGCTGGCTTTTTCGTTCCGCATGCAACCTCTCATTCACCAGTAGGCAAAAATGCACCATAGGATTCCTGGACGTCATCAGTGGGGAGCTTGTCAAGAAGAAAACTAACCCATACTCGTGCTTTACAAAAAGAAGCTTAGTCCTTGCTTATACCTCTCAGAAAATCAAAAAAATTACATAGGCTGTTGCTAGCAACTGAAATAGCTAGTACCCCTTAGATTTCCTACAAAAAAAAGTAACATCTTAATTTTGAACTAATTACAATTTCAGTATTGACTAATGCATGCAATTTTACTTTTTTTGAATATTAATTTTACTAATAAGCTTTTACCTAAAGTTATTAACCAAAAATTATTTGTGTCTGGATTTGAGTTTTGTTTCAAAATTGTTCATAAATTTATTGGTCAATTTTGCTTTTATTTTTATAATTGGATTGTTATAAATACACTTTTTATATGCTTTTAATGATTCAAAGCAACTCAATTTAGCATGCATTACAGACATATGTTTTAAATTTGATTTCCATGATGCAGTTCATAGACCGAGTGGGGTTGCAATTTTTTGGCAAGTTCCTTCACTCGCAACATTTCACTCGCAACATTTCACTCTGTTGCAGTCATTCAAAAGTGAGTAGAGAATGGTTTATGGAACAAACATTTTTTTTTTTCAATAAAACAAAAGAAACTTTGTAATACCATTATCATTATGTTATTTTTTAAAGATTTTTGTTGAAATATATACTGTCTGCAATGGGTTAACTTGAATATATACATTATTTGTATATCTTACCTTTGAGTATTTTAGTAAGTCAATACTTCAGTGTTGCTTATTTTGGATTTTTGTAATAAGCGTAAGCCTTGGAGTTTGAACTCCTCATGCAGTGTGCATTATTTGCAGTATTGCTTAACTTTGTATATTATAGTTAAGTTAGTTGATACTTCAATATTTCTTCTTTTTTTAAGCTTGGGTGTCAAAGACCCCCTCCCCCACCAGGGGGGTGGGGGAAGCAAATTAGTTCTGCTGTTGGAATATGGATTGAGTTCAGCACTCCCAATTTTTGCACCAATCACCCAGGTTGAAAGACAACCTATCGTAAAAACTTGAATTGAAGCCCTGGGCTTTTGTTTTTTGGGAACTTTCAGTGGGCTTTTCGAGACTACTTTTGCAAAGTAAAGAGAGGGACTTCTTTTCAAAATGAATGCTGTACATTTTGGGAATTATTACTATAAAGCAATAAATAGGGCCACTGTAACACAAATCTGTATCATGAGTGTATTAACAAGCATTAAATCAACTACTGTATAAACCAAGCATGTTTTTAATTTTTTTTGTTTTTTTTTTCTTGAAATTCATGTACGATATGTAATGTGCTATCTCAACAGACGCCCATGCTATCTTGAAAAGAAGCCCGTGGGCTTGTTTTTGAGGCTACTTTTACAAACTGAAGAGGGGGCTTCAATTTGAAATGGGCTTCTTAACAAGATTTAAGCACATTTGGCTTCTATTCGACCCTGTTTGATTTTCATAAATGAGCAAATATTTGTTGCAATTGATTTTCTGAAGGAAGTATCCAAATTTTCATACAGACAGTATATCTTTTAATATATTATTGTTAGAATTTTTGCAGTTATGCTTTAATTTTCTGAATTCTTACAATATTTTTTGTTAATTACTGATTAAAAAGCCGTATTTAAAAAAAAATTGTTTTTTCTTTTCACTCTTATACAAATATGTCTTTTGTTTGGTTATTAAATCTTTAAAAATTGCATCAATTAGCGCAAACATTTTAAATTTATTAAGTATAAATATAGGCATTCTTTTTTCATTCACTCTGCACATTTTGGTCGTGTTATTCCTTATTTCCATGGCAACACATCTATCTGCAAATATGAGCAAAAATTCATCTGTGAAAAAAAATTAAATTCATGAATTCATATCTAAAGCATGAGTAGTTGACAAAAATGGTTTTAATGTTTTTATTCAACCCTACACTCTTGTGTAATTTATAAGTCGATATCTTTTATATTGATGTACAGGATGTTTTTATTGCTAATATTTAGTTGATATTAATTAAAATATGTTGGCAAGAGTAATAAGGTACTTTATACCTCAGAATTTAATACACTGAAAGTGACTGACAACATTACAAATATTTTCAACATCATGTATATACTCAACATTTATGCTCATCTGTCTGCAAAGAAAAAAGACGATGACTCTTCAATGATAAAATATGATTCTGTTCATTTGAAACCATATATGCTCATATTTTCATAACATGCTGACCACTGCATATTATGTTTACCAATGTATATATGCTAAATGTTTCATATATGATCATCATTACATAACCAAAATGCTCAAAATTGCAATTGTAATTTCCAGATACATGAATAAATTTGATTTGATTTTAGCATCATGTTGCTGACTTCTTAATTAATTTTGATCAATTTTCTCGTTTTCAGTGTCGGGGTCGAGATGATGATGCTGAAATTATAATTAACGACGATGCTTTACAGACTGATACCGAGATGGGAGATGTTATTTCAGACGTGTCAGTTGTGGAGGAAAACGTTGAGTTTGCGCGTTAACTTTTTTGTTTCAAATTTTTTGAACTTTTAAGGCTTTTTTCAAAGATGTATTGTCCCATGCAAAATGTCATAAAAACCATTTTGGAAATTAAGTTGCTTATTTTGAAGAGACAAAAAGTATTTAATTAAACATAAAAATTAGTGTATTTAAAAAATATTTACCAAATAATTTTACAGCGAAAAATTAAGATCACTGGGAAGTGTTTTATTATTATTTTTATTAACATTATTCAGTTTAAAAATGAGGGTACACATTTTTTTTAATTCAATAATTTCTATGCTCAATTTAATAATTTATATTACTGCTGCAAAATGAGTGAGTTAAAATTAAATTAACTTTTTTAATTATTTTTAATTTTTTTTCATTTTTAGGGTAAAATACATCTTTAATACTGTATACCGCATATACTCGGTATAAAACTACTCGCATATATGGCGACCTTCATTGCCATATATGCAAATTTGTGTGTTGAAGACAGTCTGTACATCAGATGAACATGATTTTAATAATCGAAAATTTGTATGTCATGCATATAAGACGACCACCTTTTTTTTAAATCGTAATTTGCTATTTTAAGTCTCGTCTAATACGCAAGTATATACGGTACAAAATTCAAAATGTTGGCAGATAATTCAACATTACACATTTAACAGTGTTGAATGGAAGAATAAATCAACAAGTATATTGAACCCCAAAGGGCCTATCTTTTCAGTGGCGGATCCAGGGGTGAAACCGAGGCTCATACCTCAGCCAAGAAAAATTACAAATGAATTGTGAAATCATTTAGGTTAAGAGATTGAAATGGCTATAACTCTGTAGCTTTGAGGAAGTGGTATTGTTACCCTACAATACGTAAAAGATTATCCCAAAACTTTCTTCTCTCGACCATAGAATCTATCCCCTTCAAACCATTTGTGTCCTCGTTTGTCATATTTTCATACCCCTTAAAACTGCAGATTTGTTTTATGAGTTACTTCAGTTTGCCTTTCTGTCTGTTGCTCCAGTGGCCACCTTTCTCAAACCAAAAAACCTTAATATTGTCAAACCTATGGATTGACTCATATTGTTTGAATATTTGTTTTCAGTTTCAATTTGGTGAGGCATTGATCTACCAAGGAATTCACACCATTGAATACTGCCTAGGTTGTATCTCGCACACTGCTTCCTACCTGCGTCTATGGGCTCTCAGCCTTGCTCATGCTGGTAAGTTGTAGGCCTAAGGCATAATGCATACCATTGACTACTGCTGAAATACCCAGTGATATAGTGATATAATTATTTAAGCTAATCATGAAATTACTGTAACGTAACCATATATAATTTGTTAATATCATATGCATTAAACCTGTATTGTTGGTCTTGTTATAACCACATATGTTTAATCATGTCATATGTAATTAATTATGTAATCCACTGTATATGGTTGGTATATTGATTGATCATGTAATAACAATATATATGATTGATCGTGAAATAACCATAGGATTGATCATGTGGTACCATAATATGTACAGTAGTAACCATATACGAACGATCATGCAGTAACCATATATTAAATGATCATTGTAGAACTTTCCGAGGTGCTATGGTCTATGGTGTTAAAGAATGGACTGTCTCAGAGCTCGCTGCTAGGCTGTGTGATGTTGTTTGGTGTGTTTGCATTCTGGGCCGTCATGACTGTTTGTATCCTATTGCTGATGGAGGCATTGTCTGCATTTTTACATACCCTTCGTTTACATTGGTAGGTCAGAAAGAGATGTTGCATACTATATACCTACTTCAGGGGCGGATCCAGAAATGTCCAAAAGGGGGGGCCGGAAGCGGGGGCCGAAAGTTGGGCCGATTGAGACAAAACTGTCGTAGGGGGTCTGGGGCATGCCCCCGCGAAATTTTTGTGTTCTAGACGCCCGAACATAACATTTGAGGCATTCTGGGCTATCATTTTTTTCTTTTTCTCTCTTTTTTTTCTTTTTTTTTCTTTTCTTTACCTCCCAAAAGGGGGGCCGGCCCCCCCCCTAAATCCGCCCCTGAACTTCAAAAATTTAGAAATGTAAATAAAATAACCATATTTAATATGTTGATGTCATGATGATTAATACAGAAAAACAGCTTTGTAGGCTAAACTGCTTTTGTCCCCTGAGTGTCCATGTTAAATTACTCTTTAGTGGATAGGAAAGTAGTGGGGATTTTTGCCTGCGTGTTTACCAGTTTTCAGCATTATATCAAAACTCGGTACACAATGATAATGATCACAAAGAGGATGTTTATATTCATTAGCTGTGATAAGCCATTTTTTGGAAAATTATATTTTTGTAATGAATACTAGTAATATTTTAGCTGAAAATAATTGATTAACTTTCACATATTTAGTGTTTTTTTTTTTAATCCTTGCAGGGTTGAATTTCAGAGCAAATTTTACAGTGGCGAAGGTCACCCATTCAAGCCATTTTCATTCCAAGATCTCACAGCTGAACATCAAGAATAGGTCAAGGGTCAACTTGTATACTGCTCCCCTGCATGATACAGCAGAGTGGATGGGCTTGTATACTGCCCTCTAGCTGTAGATCAGCTTTCCATTAAATTGCAAATGAGGCATGTTAAAATATGTTAGCTATATGATAATTATTATGTTTCCAAAATGTGAATGAATTAATCTAGCCATCGGCATATATTTTTCATTCAGTATATCAGAGTTTGTCCTCTAAAATGGTCACCAAGTATATGTGTACTTAAAAATATTTGTAAAAAAAAAATGTGTCAAATTTAATAAATTGCCGGGTCTTGAAGTTTTGAATTATCTATAATTATTTGACAGGAAGTTCAAAATTATATTAGAAGGCAAGTGATAATCCAAGCATCATGAAAAGTATATTTAAAACAATTTTAAATACAAAATTTGATAGAACATTTGTCAATTGAAAATTAAATAAGAAAAATAACCAAGAGTCGCCTGTTTCCCCTTCAGAATTTCAAAACAATTGAGAAAAATTCCTATGTAATTTTTTACAGATTATAAATGGTTTTAGGCTACCCCCTTGCCCCTCCCACATCGGCACCACCACTGGTACAATTAGATAATGCTATGCTGTGATCTGTATAATGTAGAGGCATCTGAATACTCTCAATTATATTATAATGTGGAGATCAATTTATAATCCTTATATCATATATAATCTTTTACATAAATCATTATCATTTGCCGAATAGAATGATTTTCTAGCAGCATATTGGTAACTCAGAACCTAGCTTTTTAATTATAGTAGCGGGTGTAGTGTACTATATATTCAACTCAGTAAGGAACCATCATTTATATTTACCGGTAGTGTACTTATTTTTAGTAACACCATAATTTGCAATACATGAATGGAAAAATATTGAAATTTAATTTATATATCGGCTGTGTAAGACTTTGGCGTCTTGTAATACAAATGTCTTTCATGTTTAGTCACAGCAGTACATTGTAATACATTAAACTATTTTCTTATATTCTAAAAACATAAGTTAATATCATGAATAAAGGATCTATTATCCTTTGCATGCATGCAAAAATGTGTTCGTGTCTTTCATTGCTTGTGCTGGTTTTTTTTATTATAGTTTATGGGGTCATCCTTTAGGGTCAAATATGATTTATTCGGTGACCCTCCTAATAAAATAGATAATAAAATGCTGATTGTCATTTTCAGCCCCCCCCCCCCACCTCTGGTGGATGACCTTTGAATTCACTAAAAACAAAAACAGAATGCTAGATATTTTTTCATACTGTAGTTCTTTATTCAGTATCAGCATTCTAGTATTTACACTCTTTAAAAAAGATTGTAGAAATTAAACTTGTTCAATGAATTTTGGAGTTTTTGAAGTATCAAAGATATTTTACTACAAAAAAATCTTTAAATTTATTACCAGCCAGTTAAAGGGTCCATATATAGAAGTTGAACAAGGTTTCGGAGCAAACTTTTTTTTGCTAAGTGAACATTCCAAGGGGGTGTTGGACAAAATGATAGGGAATGGAATCGATACATATTTTTGTATATAAAAACCAAAAGAAGTTTACCTGGAGCTTTGCTTTAATATTTATATCCCATTAGGTGGTGAGTTTTTTTTTTTTGTTTTTTTTTTTTTATCAGATTTGTAAATGAAAATTAATTTATGTACTGTAAGTAATTGAAATATTACTTTTTATATTTACAGTACATAAAAAAGTAAGTAATTGAAATATTAGATTTAATATTTTTTCAAGGGGTCTTTCTCCGCTCACCACAGACAGCTTTAAACCATCTAACTTGTCAATTCTTCTTTAATGGACTTTGCTTCGCTTTTATCGCGACTCCTACTGCGGTCGGAACTTTTCTTCTTTTTCTTTGACTTGCGTTTATTAGCACCATAAGGATTAACGCACCCCTTGCATTTGCACCATCCGGCACAAGGTTCTTGCGCATGATAGCACTTGCACCGACTCATGTACTTTCCTTTCCGGTAGGAGCAGCTCTCCGGGTTTTCTTGATTGATGCCACATTTACAGATGTACTTCTTCACTGGCGGTAGAACTTTAATAGATGGTACAGAGGATGAAGATCGTTCATCACTTGAGTCGGTGGAATCTGAATCTGGTAGCCCTATTGGTTCCTGCTTCCAGATCTCTTCGTATCTCTAATAATTTGAACAAGAATAATTTAAGATTAGCTAAATTATTCATGTGAGCCACACAAAACTATAATATAATTTGTTTAATGTATTGTACAGCAGACCCGTAACCAGAGAGATGGCTTAGGAAAACTCCCTAGTTTCAGCTAAGGGTCATTCCATGTCAAATCACCTCAATGGCTTTAACATGACCAACTCCGATATTGATGAAAATTGGTGCACATGTTGGGTTTGGCATCAAACGTCCAAATCTCAATTTTCATCAAAATCAGATAGCTATTTTGGAGGTTACGACCAGCCAAAATTTGGCAATTTATTGGCCAAAACTGGTGTGGCCACCAACTTTTACATCTTAATATCTCAGCAATGGGTTGACCAATATTCATAATAGTGGTATTTCTGAAAAGAGAATGAACTAAGGAATCTAAATCTGCCATTATTTGGTATAATTGACCATATTTTATGAATATGAATATTGGTCAACCCATACCAATATACCAATAGTATACCAATTTTCATTACAATCGGAGTCAGTCGGGTTAAAAGTTTTTATTTTTTGCGGTGAATTGACATGGAATGACCCCTAACCCCTTTTGATAAACTTAACCAACACCTTTGCAACTAATATCAAAATGATAAACTTCACATTTATATGCAAGAATACTTCAGCTCCAGGGAACTTCACTGCCTGAAACCTCCATAGTTAACACTCTTCCTAGTTACATGCATGTGAAGGCAGGCACACACAGTGGTCACAAGACCGTCGTACAACAAATCTATCTCTGCCCTGTGAATGCTTGCAACGCCATTTGCGGATTGTCGGTGCAAGTTGTCATTGAAATTGTCCGCACCTCATGTTGTTCTCTATGGAATCGCATTAGCTGACTATTACAGCGCAGTGTGTGCCCATCTTGCGGTATTTACAAAAGCAGCTAAGCTGATTGCTAGTTATGTGACTCACTTCTTTTTGCTCCTCATCGGTCTCTGTTTCCTCATCATCGTATTCTTTCTTGGCCGATGCCGTATGAGGAGGTACTTTACTTGTTTTTGTCTCTGAGGGTTCAGTCTTTATCTTGGTGGATGGTTTTTGGCCATAATCATGATCATCCAACACAAAGGTTGGCTGTGACTAAAAGAAAAGCATTTTACACTTTTAATATTGTTTTTAATTTATTTGTTATTTAGTATTATATGTAGCATCGTTCAATTATGTTGAACAAAGCGCTTTGTTCCCTGGTCATTAGGTCCGCGAGGTTTAATGTTGCTGCTGCATTGGTGCAGCAACAGGCAACCACACCAGGTACCCATATATACTGTACTTCTGAGTTTTAAAAAGACACCAGCAAAGTGCACAGTGAAGGATTCAAACCCAGGCCTCAAGGTTGGGAAACAAAACTGTTCTTGCTGTGACAAATTGAAAACAGGTCTCTAAAAGTGGTGCTCAGCTCTGGTTGTGGCTTTGTTTATTCATTTTAACTGATTTCATATTCAAAGTGTTCATATTTTTTTCAAACAAAATAATTAAGTCTTACTTATTTGTAGAGTAGTTTTTACACACTTTCAGATACTGATTTTGTATTGTCTTTTGTGTTGGCTTTGCCGTACCCTTGTAAAGGAAATTTGTTTTTTCTTTTATAGACGACTGCCAATATTACACAAATCTTTTGGGGCCTGCCCTCCCCCCCCCACCCTTGTTTCTTATCATTGATCTCCCTCAACTCTTTGAAGTTGTATGCTGCAAGGGCACATGAGGATGAAAAGCATGGAGTACTCTTTCTTTAACATGGGTGAGTCGAGTGGCAAGGCAGGCGTGCCACAAACTAAAACCTTAATATTGGCACTGGTTCAAGCAGCACCTTACCCAGGGATCCGTTGTTAGAACCAAGTCTTCTTGGATTAAGGACTTAAAACTGCAGGTCTAGTGTACAAATCTGGCTTGTGTGCATTTTGAAGAACCCATTGCATCTTTCTGAGCAGTTGTGGTATGATATAAACATGAAGCTACTAGAGCCTCTAGGGCTGTTTCAGTAGTCCACACGGTCACCTATGAGTTTTCAATTGTAACTGTCTTGGAAACTTACATTATCATATTTGGTGATGACAGCCAAGTTTCCCTGGCTATGCATTATGGGTACCACAGTATGTAAAAAACAAGTAATCTCATTGGACGTTAGTAGTACAGGTATGGTGCAGTTCCCATCACCACCCTCACATTTCCCATACAACACTTGGTGGCGGTCTTCAAGAATATCTGAGAATTCTCATTAAGGATATTTCATTAATTGTAGTTGCTGTCTTCGGGGAAGAAAATATGACATGTTATACATATTAATTTTTTACGACACTGAAGAGGTTTCTGAAGGGTGTTTGAAGGAAAACTATGGAACAGTAATACACATATTTTCATTATTTAATACAGGGGGAAAAGAGCCACATTCACACTGAACAAAAATTTCAGGCCTGGGATTTATCAATCTCAGCTTAGCAAATGTCTAAAGTCAAAACAGATAAGATGTCCCCAAGCAAATATCCTAAGCTGATTTATCAAACCACCATAGCAAAATCTTAGCTTAAAAATCATCTTATATGGCACATGCATACAGTCGACACTCTAATTTTATGCAATTTTTAGGCTAAAGTAATATTAATAAATCTGACTTAAGCAAAAAAATGGACTTAAGATGAATTTAAGCGAATTTCTAGTTTGATAAATCCGGCCCCAGCAGCACAAGCACTTTCGCTGAGCTATTTTTTAAGTTGAGCTTGACATCGAGTTGATTTGTACTTGTAGCCTGCTTACAAAAAGACAAAATCCTACCAACCGTCCCCCAACATCTTCAAATCAGAATGTAATTTCTTATTCTATTATTACATTATCAATGAATTAGTGTACTCGCTATTACTGTAAGTGAAGAAGGAATATAGAAATGAATACAGTATACATCATAAGGATACGTTGCTCACAATACGATACTGCAGGTAAACGAGTATTACGACAGCTCTTCCTGTCGGCTTCAAATTTACATATCATTACAGCCTGTTCCGTGTCAACTCCATCTCGCATTGCTGTCACCTGTATCCGTCTCTGCTTTGACTTAAGAGCAAGCAAAGCCTCGCATCCTCTTCGCTTGCGGTACCGCTTCATTGCATGAAGTTTCATTAGCTTTTTGCTTTCTTTCGGGTCACTGACCTTTCCGATGTTCAAACCTTTAAAATCGAGAAGACATTGACAATACTGTACTTACAAATTATTATTTTTAGCATCATAAACACATTAATAATATTGTTAATACAGTAAACAGCATAAACAAACAAAAAGTAATACCCAATGATAATGGTAATAATAATCAAAGTACAATAAAGTGTTACCTTTCAGAGTAGATGATAATAGCAAAACAATTAAAAACTGAAAAAAAAAGGTGAATTAAAGATTTTCTCTAAACAGACATACTGTACCAGAAGATAAAATAAGTGTTTACCAATTGTTTGTTCTTCGATGCTACGTTCGGCTAAGTATCTGCGGCGCTTTTCTCTCATTACATGCTGAAGTCTTTTAAACTGATTGATATACAGTGACTGGAGTCTTATCAACTTCTCTTTGCTTATCAATGCAACCTCTTCTGCGGTATAAACTCCTGCATGTCTGCAAGAATGAAATAAATTACTTAAGCTGTGTACACAATGCATTAACAGTCGTCAAACAATGCAATTCAATAGAAAATGTAACACAAAGAGGCAAACGCCACACAATAGAGTGTACAAAAGAGATGACGTTAATGACGATCTTGTTTTAGATTGCACACGGACAATCAGTCGAGGGCATCAGTTATCGAGCACTCGCAAAAAGTGGAGATGGATTTGGCGGCCCGGTGTGTGCTTGGCTTTAAAACAGCCAAACCAAACATTTGAATAAATTATCACTCTATGGAAATATAAACATACTGAGAATTGTTAATCTTTGATTGGCTGTGTTGTCACCTTTGATGTACAGTACTTTAAAAACATTTTCCATGCCCCATCATACTTGTAAACAAATTAGTATTAATCTAACCATGTCCTTACTGGGAAAATCCATAGAATATTTTAATTCTGAATACTGTAGCTTAATGGTAATGGGAATGTGTTGGTATAAAAATCAAAATAAGGGACAACGTCGATAAAATCGTTACTTACTTGAGGACATCTTCTTGTTCACTGTCCACACTTTCAGCATCACTTTCGTTGTCCCCTTTCCAAGATTGGTCTACAAGAAGTGGTTCAACATCACTACTACTGTCGCTCCCATATTCTACAATGAAATATTTTGGATTTTAGATTCCAGTGGACCTCTCTCCTAAGCCCCCCTGTCACTTGGATATTTTTGCTAAGGTCCCATAAACCGATAGTGTAAACATGCATTTGCGGGACAAGCTTGTATTCCTTGCCCTGTGCTAATCGGTTAGTTGATATTAGTTTGATAAACACTGAAAGCTCCATTAAATTCCATTATAGTTACTCGCCAAATGCTGAAATTTTCACGCTCATATGACATACAGTAAATTTAAACTTTTAAGGCTAATGGAAGTGGAGCTTTTGTTAGCCGGACACTCACTGCCTCCGACTGTATGCTACACATTGTTTAAAACAGTAAGCACAATTTACAGTGTGGGTGTTTCCAAACCCTGACCTCAAGGTTTGGAGCCTTAATAATAACATTGCACCAACTTTTCAACTATCTATTAAAAATTAAAATATACTGTATCTTACCCAATATTTTAGCGGCTTCGGACAGTGGGTTTTCGGGAAGTTGTTTGGAGGAACTTGCTCTATAGGCATCAAGATCTTCAAGTAGAGTGTCAGTGCGATTACTTGGCCGTTTCTTGAGGATATTTTTATGCCGTAACATCGCAGTTTTTCTTGAGTGTTCAACACAAAAGCTATACAAAGAATCAAGATATCTGAAATACTGCTGATATTATATATTTACAAACATATTAATAGGTACATCAGAAGTATTAACACAACACAACACCTGTTTCAGAAGTTTTTAAAACAATAGTTTCAAAAGTATAGTGCTTCAAAGGTGTTTTACAAGTGTTATGATGTATTTCAAATGACAGTAATGCGTTATGCATATTCAAATATTAACATAATAAACTGTACCACCAGTTTGTATCACACATACTGAAGAAATCCAACCAACCAAGCACATCCCAAAACAAATTGTTAGTTTGTTTTTTTAAAACCCTATTTACAAGATGGTCACCAATCCAGCAAAGCTGATTTGGGCCCTTATTACATATGTATACACACAACATTACACAAAATTATTTAAATATTTATTTAATTTTAACAAGTAAAAGACAGGACAACAAACAAACACAAAACTGATAGAAAAATACTGTCAGTATATTAATGTCATAATCTACATCCAATAAGGCTTAATGTACAGTCCTGTCCATACTTTATCATTAGTATTTGGTCTTCTGTGACAAGCTTTCTGTTAATATATGGGCAAAACACTGTAACCAGAGCTTCAAGAGAATCAGCTGTACTCTATAAAGTACAGTTCACTGTAGATCATGTTATGTTACATGCTGTTGTTTCATTAATTTATATAAAATTCAAAACAAGTACAAATTTGAAGAGAATTATTTTACACACCCATCTTTTTTGTCCGATTTGGGCGCAGCCTGCGAGCAACGCTTCCCGTTCTTAGTAGATATATAATTGCATTGCTTGAAAGGTGCGCTCTTATCTTCGAGAATATGCCGACGACAGTACTCAAAGCCATCCATCCGATTCTGCATGCAAATACGAGGAGAATAGTTGCAAAATAAACTCTCAGAACGCAACGTTCTTCTACTACTGCTACTACCACTGGGACGACCTTTCATCTTGAACTGTACAGTAGAGAACAGAGATTAGTAATGGTTCTTTTTCAGATGTATAATTTATCTTGTTAAATAATCAATCAATTAATCTACACAGTGTTATGAACTTACTGTAGAAATTGGAAATTTTAATATTACTTGTGTTGTTAAATATTCTCTAAGAGTGGAGAGGATACAACATTGCATATAAAAGAATAGGCACATTCAAATGAGTTACAGTAGAAGCTGGGGGCGGATGCAGGATTTGGTGGTAGAGGGTGCGTGAGAATCCATTCTAAGCGAAGAACCGGCCTGGTTATGCTCTGGGAAGCATCGTGTAAACACTCGTCGGAAGTAACACGCAATTAAAATTTTATGTCTGACTTAACTTTCCTATAAACTATTCTACTGTCTGTAGTACAGTAATTAATACTTTTAGTTATTTTTTTTTACTGGTTGTTAAAAAGTTATTATTTGTCGGCATGGGTTGATGTTATTTTGTAGCTGAGTTAATGTGGAAGCGTACATTTATGTTTGAGAGTGCATAGTGAATAAGGCAATGGAATTAATATTTTTACACGATGGACATGAGAAGAGCTTGAAGTTTTGAATAAATTGCTTTTGTCTGGCATGCATCTGTTTTATTTACAATTTTTATTTTCTTTGGTATATTTACGGGATCAGAGGGTTGTTTGTTTTCATTATTGTTTGTGTATTGTCACACATCTTTGGTATTTACATCTGGATGTTGTAGTACTGTATAACTAGACTAGGCTTTGTAAGGTATGTATGTATGTATGTAATGTATGTATGTATGTATTGTATGAATGAAGAGGAAAACTCAATCTGATGATGATGATGCCATGGTGCCAGCGGTCTAATGATCCCTAGATGATACTCATAATATAATTATTAATTACATTATTAAATAGAGCACTTCAGGCCTCCTGAAATCTTGAATTGAATATTAGTGCAGAATGACCTTACTTTTTTTCCTTTTAGATCCATAGCATTTACGTCCAAGTCATTTACTATATTAACTGTATATTATGTTTAACCACCACTCTTCAGAAAACCATGCGCCTACAGTAAATACAGTTACTCAATCATCAAGCCTCCGGTTTGTCCCACATCGGGAGCCTGTGCTGCATGCTGTGTGTGGTGTGGTACACGTTTTAAACTTCACACTAAATTACTTCAAATTGAGCTTATTCTTACCACATCGTGTCTACTATATATACCTAGTAATAATGTAATAATAATTGATTATTAAACCAGTATTAATGTAGTTCTGTATTATTAACAATTTATAAAATGTGATGTTCTAAATAATGAAAAATAGCAGCCCGCCCGCACATAGTGACGACGGAACAAGTTAAAACGTGCCTATGTGCAAGCTTCGAGTCACTCGACGATAAAGAGCAGTCGGGGAAGGAGGTTTACAAACGCTCAAAAAAACGATACGTTTCGGGCATAAATCTTCAGATTTTGGTGGCAGCCATGATGCTATCACTATCTCAACAAACTGCTAAAATATTTTCCTACATAATGGATTGTCAAGTACTTACTGATTTTTATCGACAACAGAGAAAATTATTGCAGTGTACCGTGGATTTTTTTATAAAATTTCACGATGGTTCGGCGCCGACCTTTTCTGGCCGTGAACAACAAAAATAGCTTTTGTTGTGCAATCAGGTAATGCAAGGCTACGTATTGTGTCACGTAAACGGCGTTTTCTCAAGAGAAGCTATGAATAACCTTTGACCTTATTCTACTAATTGAATAGAGCATGCGCGGTCGCTTGTCTGTTCGTCGGTCTTGGTCTCATGGCGGCACGTCCCGAGATTGGAACAGAAACATGGTATTATTCTCGGGAACAAATCGAAAATTCTCCATCCCGCAAGTATGGAGTGGACCAGGACAAAGAATTGTCCTACCGACAACAAGCTGCCAACCTTATACAGGACATGGGACAACGTCTTACTGTGTATCCTTTTCATTTTAGAATAGCATCGTTACTTATCCGCCATGTTGGCCTAGCCTAGGCTAGGGCCTACACATTTTTGTGAATTGCAAATTGTAATCATTATTACTCGCTAGATTCGATTTCTTATCTAATAATATTACCAATGTTAGAACCTATATGTGTAATAGAGTAGTAATATGTAACTTTTTGGGAATACGACTGGTTTCTTTTATTCTACAATATACAAAATGTTGTTGAGGTCCAAAATGCACGAGATAAGACATTTCCATTGATTCCTCTAGGCTCTAGCCGCGGCGGTGCAGCATGCGTTATGAACGATTCAGCGCTCTCTAGAAAGTCATGGGCCCATTTCGTAGGCCTAATTTTATCAAAATTTCACTATTAATTGTGATGCACTCCTTTTTTTATAGTCTATATTTTCTATTATATACTGGATTATATATAGGCCAGTGTTTTAGTTTGTAAACGTGATGTTTGCATTGAGTTGTGTAATGATAAGTTCAACTAGGGGTCAATACAAAGAAATTGACAATGATGAGTCATGGATCAACAACAAATATAGGTGATAGCAAAATTAACAAATTTAACCTCTCTGGTAGACAGGACACAATCAAATACAAACTTGTATATGAAAATACACAAAAAACTGCTAATTCTCAGTAACAATATTATAAACAAATCTATTTGAGTAAAATCAAGCAACTGGTTTAACCCTTTCAGTCCCATAAGCGCTTTAAGCGCTCTCTAATTATCGTCAGTAATTAATTAATTGATTAACAATAATTAAAAAAAAAACGTATGTGCAGTAATGTGTGCATGTATTTTCATTAAATATTCGAGAAAATATCAAAAAATTTTATAAAAAAATGTTTCTTGGTGCTTTTTTAATTAACTTGAATGTAAACAGGGCCTAAAAAATTATTTAAATAATTACTTTTTTTTTTATTTTAAAAATTTCACAACACTATATAACCACTTATTTAGGAAAAACATTTTATTATCTTTCAATTCTTATCAAAGGAATTTGTATTACTCCCAACAGAAAAAATTATATTTAATTATTTTTATGTCACTAAAAAAATTTTTTTTTTAAATGAAAAACGTGAAGATGAATGGGTTAAAGGCATATGGTTTTATAAACATTTGATATTTGATTTATTACCTTAAAATACAAAATTTATAGAATTTAATATATAATAATTTATTAAATGTGTAAACTAAATATTAACCATTTTCAATCTTCTAATTGAGGTTACTTCCTGTTTTGTGTTCCTTAATTCGTTACCACAGTAACCAACTTTGTATCAACACTGGAATTGTATATATGCACAGATTCTACATGGTCCACTCATTCACCAAGTTTCACCGTAATGTGAGTTTATTTGAAGTTTTAATTTATTGTATTTACAATAAAAATAACAAATAATTGTAAAAATAATGAACTGTGGGTACTCTATATAGGCCTAACTACTTTCAGTAGTTTTTTTTAAAGGCCGTGGATATTGTTCCGACAACCTTACTTAAATCTGTTGGAGCTGGCTTGACCCTAACCTTCCAGTCGGAAGAATATCGAGCGTGTTTTTGAAAATATTTTAAACTGCCTTTTTGTACACAGAAATATCAAGGAATCCTTATAAGTTATATAAAACAAAATGTAATCAGTTGTTTTTTCTTTACTCTGAAACAGGTAATCGCCCCGGCCTGTTTATTTTTAGGTGCAAAAGTAGAAGAGCAACCCCGTAAATTAGAGCATGTAGTTAGAGTAGCGTACGCTTGTCTTCATCGAGACACTCAGCAGCAGTTGGATCCGAAGACTGAGGTAGGCAGAAGCAATAAGGAGATTTTGATTTGCGCAATGATGGGACCATAGAACAACGTAGATTGAGTCCATACTGCGTCCTAAAATCCAGCCGATGAGAACTCATCCTGATGTCATTGTGCTCTTGGTCCTACCATTGTTATGCAATTTAAAGCTCATTATTGTCCCCTATCGAAATCTGTAATTAAAAGTTTTCTCGTGTTGCTTTTTCATGTTCCATTTTTTATTTTACTTTTTGTATTATTTCCCCCTATTTGTGATATTGGTAAATGTTATTACTGTATAATACCAAGGTACACATGTATCATTTGTAAAACTAAAAAAAAGTGTATCTTTTATCACTGTTCATGGCCCACATTTGTGTATAAACTAAATGCATGTTAGTTGCCTAAAATTGTTTTAATTTTATTGTTAATTATTTGTGGGGGTTTTTTTGTGTGTTTATTTTTGTTTTGGAGCAGTAAAAATAATGGCTTTTTACTTTCCCTTGTCCATATTGTTTTGTTGGCTGAATAAATGTTGAATTTAAAGTGAATTCATCTTTTGTCTATCAATCAATTATTAATAATTATTGTTTCATTAATATTAATTGTATTTTCTTTCATAGCTATATTCCCAGTTAGCACAAGAACTTGTGATAAATGAGAGCATTATATTGCAAACATTAGGTAAGTAATTCTTTTGTATGTACAGTATGTGTTGCCTGTTTTGCAGAATAACAGTCCTGGTACATAGGTATTTATAAAATTGAACACATAATCCCAGAGTAGGAAGCCAAGCTGCACTACTATTTTATGAAATGCTCTTCCCATAACATAACAATTTTACAAAATTCAATACTTTTCTAAGAGGTGATTATTGATGTTCCAGTCGGCTAAACTGGTGATAGCCACCGTGTGCACACTGAACCGTGGATATCGTTATGTAGCCTTAGTTAGTCCCTCAGTTCAGTTCCATCTAATGCTCTCCTTGTGTTTCAGCTTGAGGGCTGAAATAGTCTCCATAGCAACCATCTGTCAAATGCGGTGTTAGAGCTGTTGGTCCTGTGTACAATATGGCCTAATAGTGCACACATTATCGAAAGATGTACACTATTCTGGAAAGAATATGGATTAACTTGCCATTTTGTTGTTCAATTTATCCCCAGAACGGAATAAGACTGGGTTTTAAGTTCGTAACTTACTTTACACCTTGTTTAGCGAACTTACTTTTTTAACGATCATCAGAGGAAGGCGGGAATAAAAATATATTTTTCATTTTTATTCAGCAAATAGTTTTGCCAAAAATATCCAGATGGAGGAGAAAATATAAATATAATTTTATATATAATTATATTTTTATTTGAAATCATAATGGGCGGGCAGCGAGTTTGCTAAACAAGGTATAAAAAAAGGTTTTGTCTAAGTGGTCTAAATGGTCTTAGTGCTTGATGTATTTTACACTTAAGTATGTCCGGTCCACTTAATTGTAATTAGTTAATAGTAATTACATTTAATAGGTGTATAATTTTTATTTTTTAAGGTTTTGAACTTGCTGTTGATCATCCTCACACTCATGTTGTAAAGTGTACTCAGTTGATCAGAGGTAAGTAATTAAGTTTGTCTTCATAACCAAACAGTATTTTGAGGAACATCATACAGATATGCCCATTTATGCAATCCTCTAAGATATCTTGAAAACAAGCAGGCTTACTGCAAAAGATTCAATTTGTAAAGAGTTGCTGTAAAACTTTATTTATTTGACCTCCCTAAGGTCAGAGATTTTCATTCTGTGTATATTACAAGATGATTGTTTAATATGCCAATGTATACAGTTCATATCTGCATGCCAATCACAAATGTTCTTTTTCAAAATCAAGTTCTGGTGAAAAACAAATTTGATATGTTGTACAACTGATTTTTCTAAGACAAAAAAAGCATATTGACGAAAACCTTGGGAATGGTTAATAAGATACAGATTTTTGAATATTCAAATTTTAGGGTAAAAGGTGAAATATAGGGTGGTTATGCTCCTTTTCCCCCCAGTTTTTAAGTAATAAATCTGTATCTCATTAACTACTTTCGTAAAAAATTATGCATATACAACATATAAATTTTTTTTTCCCTCCGGAGCTGGGCTTTAAGTTGATTAAAATACATGGTCGTGAATGTTATTTTAGAGGATTTAATGCTAATGAGTTACTTTTGCTTCCTTTGGTGACCTGCGTACCTGGTGTTGACTTGTTGCTGCCTCTTCTCTGTCGGCCGTCTGTGAACACTCCAGCTAGCAAGGATCTATCCCAGACCTCGTACTTCATGGCGACCAACAGGTTGGCTGCCCTTTTGTCTTGTCTCTCAATTGGCTAATTCAAAACCAAGACAATGACAAATTAGTGGTACCTTGATTAGTAATATTCAATTTAAAATTGGAATTTGGTACCTTGATTAGTAATATTTAATTTAAATTGGAATTTTGTGAAACCTAATACCAAAACCTCAGTTTTAAATACCATGTGACATTCTCATTATCAATGATAACTATGGAATATTCTAACTTGATATCATTAATAAGAACTCCATTGTCTTGGTTTACAGTTACCCAAAAACACTGACATGTATATTCCACTGGTTGGAACTTATGCTTGCAATCAAGTAAACAACTAAATAACAGATCTACAGTCTGTGATAAAATTAAAAGTGAAAATTCATTTGAATTGCTATTAGATTTGTGTATTGAAGTCATTAGCTGTCAATTTAAATTTAGAATTAGAAAACAAAAATCATTAATTAAAAAGGATAAATAATGCGTTTTTTTAATTCTTTTGAGTTGACCCATAAATTGGCTAATAATCAATTTCAGGATTTTGGTGGTAAATCTATACCACATATGGTATATCTTTAATGCAACCAATTGAATTGCAACTGTTAGATAATAATAAATAAGAAACTGAATGTAAGCATAGTTTCTGGCTGGTCACTGTCAGTATTAAACATGAGGACTAGACATAGAGGTCAGAGGTTAGCAGACTCTAACAGAGATTACAAAGAGGCTAATGGCCCATGATACGGTCATGTGACATACTGGTAAGAATACAGAAAAATGGTTCCAGAACATAAATAGTACTAAGTGCTAGTAGGCCAAGGCGACAATGCCACAAAACTAATGTTTCATCTTCTTTGTTTTTATTAGAGTAATCGGCAGGAAAGATAAAATTCACCGTGTTTTCTAGACTTGATGAATTTGCAGAAGATACTTCTCAAGAAGAAGCTTAAGACATTTATAGTTAATTAGCAACAAGTTCCTTCTTAGTAAAGAGTTCTTAACAGTTTTATAATAAATATAGAAGAAAATCTCAATTTATGTTAGGTGAATGATACAGTAAATCTCTATTTAAATATCTTGTGTTTTCTTTTTTTTTTTTTTTTTTTTGATGATGTATTTTAGCCTTCACCTGACGTCATTTTGTCTTCGTTACAAGCCAACTGCTGTTGCCTGTGCTTGCATACACTTGTCTGCAAAATGGTCCAAAATGCAGGTAATACTGATAATGTGCAATAACTGACAAATTAAATTTCCTGAATGTTATTTTTTTCCCCTTACAATTATTAAGTTAAGTATTTATTGATAAATGTTTGTTCCTACCTTTGTGCAACTGAAATATGATTCAATTTTTATGTTATGATCATTTTTGGTGCATCTGAGTCGTTTCCAAACAAAATGACTCGGACATAATACATTCTCTTCGAAAAGTTATGTATTTATGACACTACAGTAGTGCTAATGCAGTAGAAATGTTGCCTTTTAAATATCCTGTACTGAATAACATATTTCTTTCATATTTATCATCTAGACTAGGAAAAAAATCAAAAAAGAGGCCTAGAAATCAAGTTAGGGGGAGTGGAATGTTAGAAGCAGTCAACATAGCCAGATATCCTAAATAATCCGTCATGGTCACCCTAAGCCCTGTTGACACTTGATTTTTCACCTGTTATACTTGAAATGGCGGCCATTTTTCAAAATGGCCGCCAAATTTATCTAAAATGTGCATATAATTGGAACTAAATAAGCTACAGATATGATGTTGGTGTCTAAAATCATTATTTATAGACAGGCAACAAATCAGACATTTAAAAACTACTGTCACTCATGCCAGAATGGAACATAATTCAAAAATAGGTGTTTATTTGTTTTAAAATATCCGCCAAATATACTTAAAATGTGTATAAAATAAGAATAAGTATATAAAAACTACTGTCACTCATGCCAGAATGGAACATAATTCAAAAATAGGTGTTTATTTGTTTTAAAATATCCGCCAAATATACTTAAAATGTGTATAAAATAAGAATAAGTATATAAACTCACCAAAAAGTCGTGTTTGTAATCGTTGGAAAGCTCTTCCGATGCTGAATAATGTATTGCAGTTTATATATCAGAAACGGTGTGGTGTTTCATACTGTCCCATAAATTCCAATTATGGCATATCACATTAATATAAACAGGACCCATTTGCGTAACTCGTGAGCTCTCGGATGGCGGAGGGGGTGGGCGCTCCTACTACTACCTAACACATTACTACCAAGCCTTAAGTAACGCATGTGCTTTCTGGGCGAAGTCCAATAACAGCAAAAGGAAACAGGTTTAAGGGGCAAAAAGGCAACCAATATTAAAATTATTATTTATTATTATTATTATTATTATTATTATTATTATTACTATTATTGTAATTATAATTATTGTAGTGAGATTATTATAGTTGTTGTAATTACTGACTTAAAAATGAACAAAGCATTCACCTGTACAGGGAGTCCTTTCCAGCCTTTTGGAGGATAAATTCTTTAACTTTTCTAAGATGGAAATTGGAAGGGGCTTTAGAATTGAGGTAGTGTATTGAATTCCCATCACTGCTCTTCCTTGTATTTCAGTTGGAGGGCTGAAATGCAAGTTACGATAGCGCACCGTCTTTCGGATGAGACATTTAACCTGTTGGTTCCGTGTGCATAATTGAAAGTGTGCATGTTAAAGAACGCAGTATACTAAGTGGAAATGAGTAGGAAATTGTTTCCCGGTGTACAGTGGTGTAACGACTATGCGCTCCCATGCAGCGGTCTGCAGGGCCCCCATCACCTAGGGCCCCGAAGGTGCCCCAACCCATAGGGTCCTCGCTCGGGCACCCTTACCAAAAGGGCTTTGTTGATACATAACAGCATAATGTGTCTCTGAGATCGACTGTAAGACATATATCATAGTATATCCGTGAAGGTTTAATTGGGGGGGGGGGAGCCCTGTCGGCCTGGGGCCACCTACAATTTTCCAATTGTTTTAAAAATGGAAATTATACTCGCATTTTAAATATATGAGTGCCAATTCCGGCCACTTTGAGGTGCCGTATTCATAAATGATCTTACCTTAGCCCCAACCATGCTGGGGCTGAGGTGGAATAGGTGTGTGAAAGCCAGTCCCTACCCACATTCCCTCTATTTTGAAAATCTGCAACAGATATATAATTTATTTCCTTGTTAAAAGCAATCTAGAATACAATGCCAAATATTAGAAAAACGAGCAAATTTAAATTCCCACAATTAAAGTGTTGACTGGATCAAAAAGTGGACCCCATTCTCAGAAAACCACTGGGCCCCGGGCCCATCGTTAGGCCACTGCCGATGTAGTGCCCATTTACCACCAGAAGGACCTCACTGGAAACAAGTATTCTTCCGAGACCTCACTAGAAACAAGTATTCTTCCGACTTTTGTGGGTTATCCTTGGTGTTTACACCGAATATATCCATCCACCCATAAGGGACAGATTTAGAGAAAGAATTTTGTTTAGAAATGGTGGAGACAACAGACATTTAAAAAAATAGGTTGTTTTGGAGTAAGCCTACAGTGACGTCATGCTTCCTTCTTTCTGGTCTTTCTTCTCCCTTTCTTCTTCATTTTTTGGGGG